AGGCGGGAGCTGGTTCCACAGGACTGCGCCGATGAACTGCATGGTCGCTCGACCCGCAGGACCGGGCCAAAATGGTACCTTGTGATGATCTACCTCGCCTCATCTGGTGACTGCCCATCAAGCTGGTCCTTCTGGTACCGTATCGTTTTTGGAGTACAGTATAGTGCGCACCTTTGTATAACGCGTACCCCCGATCTTCATTGGGGGTACCGGGTGCGTTCATTGAAGTACATGTAAAGTACCGCCAGAGCGCCCCACCATCTCATCCTGTCGTGGTCGTATTGTGGAGGCGGTCTGCTGTCTGTAGGTCATACGACATGAACCTTGTACACATATTGCACGTTTTGGAGTCAATCCGCACCTTCAAGCTAGATCCACACAAAAACCTGCCAAGTGTGACCTTAGTACACTAAGATTCTCAAATCGTACACACTTCGTTGCACTCTGCCATACGATTTTCCTTTCTCTGGCTGTAAAATCAATAGGTGGTGGAGGTGGGGCGCTCTCGCGAGACGGGGCGCTCTGGCGGTACTTTACGGTACATGCATTTCATATTCGGAGCATAGTGCGCATCTGCGATTTGGGGCCTAAAATAGCACATCTAAAGTGCGCACTATACTCCGGAAATTACGGTACTGATAGATGTTTAGACCCCTGCATTGGTATGACTCTACACTACGTTACATACATGTAGATAAACCGCTTGTTTTTGTTCAAACATGTTGTTGCTTGACAGCATGTAACAAGGTGGAGGACACCATGTCCGGAAACAGTGACCTTTTTACAATCATCCACGGTTGGTAGAGCCCCGGTCCGTTGAGACCATCTGAACCGGTGTATGGGTCTTAGACCCGGCCCAAGTTCTCACCCTCTTTATTCTAGAGGAGTTTTTTTATATAGACTTCTCCTAACCGTTAACGTCAGTTGTGTATTCTGTTGTTGTTGTTGTAGAAGTTTATTTAACGTCGCACCACAAACAGGCGATTTCGCCTCCTTTGATACATGTGGACGACAGATTTTCTATTCTGTGATCGCTCCTGGATGTCTTCTTGATAGTAAAAAAAAAATACTTCCAAGTACTGTATTAGCGAAAGTTGTCATTTCATTCTTCCTGCAGGAGATCCCCTCGACAGGCCCAAAGCCTTTGGGAAATCCTTAAATATAATAAAATACAAATACAAAAGAAACTCGGATGTTGAGCCATAAATAAATGTGGAAGAGAAAAGACATATGGATACGAGTTAAGAGTAACTCTCCATCACTGTAACATGATACTATATACAGTCAGAAAGTGCAATAACTAGGCACAAAACTGACAGAGTACTGAAACAAAAGAGTGCATAATTATGGACTCTTGGTACATGTAGTAGCTATTTTAACTTGTTGTTGTTGTTGTTGTTGAAATTTTATTTTGTATCGCCGACCAAACGGGCAATGGTGCCCAATATTATGATGGCGATAAAGTAACGGCCGAGAGCCAAGGATACAACAAGCAAGCCTCCACGAAAGAGAGAAAAACACAGAAAACACAGACTGCAAATACTCAAAAAGAAAAAAGAGAATGTTACATGCTGTCAACCAAGAACATGTTTGGACTACGTAACATGTACAGTCAAACCGTTTTAGGATGAACACCAAGGGACCGATGGCAACAATAACGCACTAACGGGACTTCTTCTTCTCGTCCATGTCTTCTGCCCAGTGATTTATCCAAAAGACCACTACAAGTAGTATAATTATACTAGTGGTGGCGACCTGGGCGATAATTTTATAAGGAAGTTGGTTGCTCTCCCACTGGGGCTCGCGCTTTTCTCGCCGTTTCCATTATCCATCCGTTCTATATGGGCAGTCGTGAGTCAGTCATTGACTCAAGTCTGCAGCTCTTCAGTCGTCTTCATCCGTCAGTCAAGCTGTAGCCGACTCTCCCTACAATAATTATTGCACGATTCTTGCAGTTGGAGAAACTGTCATGAAGTTTCGAACACAGACTTGAAACACAATACATGATGAATTGCTACTGTTATCATGTGAACTCTCATTACACTGGTACAGTATGCAGTGTTACCACCTTATGTTTATACCTTCCACCAAGAGTACATAACCGGGTTATGTACTCTTGCTTCCACATAGTCATTACTCATTAGTCTAGCATGACGTCATAATATTTACCTCAATTCATGTTTTCCGAAGAATAATAAAAATAAAGTCAGGACGGCGGGAAAAGGCGAGAACTCCAGGGGGGGGGGGGGGGGCGGGCTGGGGAGGCAACCAATTAATTCCGAAGAATAATAAAAATAAAGTCAGGACGGCGGGAAAAGGCGAGAACTCCAGGGGGGGGGGGGGGCTGGGGAGGCAACCAATTAACTTCCTGTATGTTTTTTGTAGTTCTTCTGAAGCGAACGTTTGTCTTTTCACTACCATCATGCTGGTATTTGACGACTCCCTGGGCTGCTGTGGTCAGAACCAGGGAGTAGTACAATACCATTTGTACTCCCTGGTCAGAACGGAGCAAGGTTGCCTATGTTTTTTAAAACTCAGGGAGTACAGTACGTCATGTACTGGAGTCGTATACGACAGCAAGAGTACATAACCCCCAGGCCTGAACCATGTGGGCAGGCTAGGCTGCCTTTAAAAGCTTTCACTTCAGTTTGAAGTTTACTTGACTTTTTACTCTTTTAATAATTATCTGAATTTTTAGCAGTTTACACCGTAAAAGAAGAGTCACCAGAGGCACAATGACCGGTTCTTTATGTAATCGATATAATAGCAAGAGTACATACCTCCCTGGGGGGTTTTATACTCTTGATGATTGACATTCTCTCTTTCGTGGAGGCTTGCTTGTTGTATCCTTGGCTTTTGTCCGTCACGTTATCGCCATCATAATATTGGGCGCCATTGCCCGTTTGGTCTGCGATACAAAAATAAAATGTCAACAACAACAACAACATCGACCCCCCCCCCCCCCCCCCCACCGATGCTCCCCCTACATTGCAGTAAAATGCCCCTACATGGACATGCGAGATATCTCTACTAAAGTACTTAACTAGCAAGAGTTCATAACCTCTGGCCCTCCGGGGTTATTGACTCCCATAACCCCAGAGGTTATGAACTCTTGCTAGTAATCAAGTCCCATGTTGGCAAGAGTACAATCATCATGTACTCTTGATGTCTAATAGGAAGAGACTCTTGCTAATAAATAGGCATTATCAGGACAGTTGGGCAGGCAGTAGCGTGGCTCCGAAACCCCTTTTCGGTCGATTCGTACAAAAGCAGAAAAGGCACCACGTGTCATTTCGTTCTTCCTGCAAAGTAATGACATAACCGGTTCTGTACGGCAACGGTTCCTGCCAAAAAATACGTTGTTTCTGCCGTACTTGTCATCCGAATAGCCTGCAATGTTCTTCGAGCCTGGCAAACCGCCTTCGTAATAATCACCAGAAATGTAGAACCAAGCTTCAGCGACAACGTTTGAAGGCTGTAGCTTGAAGGTGTGTTGAAGCATTAGTGGTTTCGGAGACAGTTTTGCAGATGAGGTCCTTAGTGGTTTGAACAGCCGCAAAAATCTGACAGCCGAGAGCTTGGAGTGTGGAAGTGAGGCCAGAGGTAGAGCTCCGGAGGGGGTCATTCTGACACCTGTGGACCTCATTTGGTGCATGCTCTGTTCATCAGCGGATCTACGGGATCCCTTGTGCGAGGGAGCACGCCGAGCCCGCCTGCTGCTGTCTGCAATGTTGTGAGTGAGAGTTCGCCAGGCTGGTCGGGTGGCGCGAGAGACAAACGCAAAGACTGTCTGCATGCAGTGCAGCAAATAAATAAATAAATACATCTCCAGTGTATTGTACTTGAAGTAGTATTGAAGAACCTGTGTGTGTAGCTGAATTAGTGTTGATACTTAGCAGCGGCAGCAGCAGCAGTACCACCGGTAGTTGTACAGTGTGGCTCGCATTTTTTTGCAACTGAGCAGCCGTTCCCATATAGCAGTCACACTTGCATGCCCGGCGTAACAGCGGGACTTGTCGGCGCTGCCTCGCTGCGTTTCCCGGACGTGACAACAGGTCCGTCTAAGCCGCGGCGATAGCAGTGGATGCACGTGTATGCCGTTAGTCTGACGTTGCAGAGCAAATGACGTTGCCGGAGATCGTGGCAGTACTATCCTAACCTGGACCACCGAGCATACGCCAGTTGTCTCTTGGCCAGGAGCAAACACAGTCTGTTGAAGTGACGCTTGATACGAGTAGGAAAACATGATTGTGTGGCGTGGATTCTCCAGTGTGGAGGTACCGGCGGCCGTATGCCTGCTGTTGCTGACTCTAGCCGTGCAGCACAAGACGACGGCGGTGCTGGGCAACCTGGCCACGTGCCCGTGGGTGGACCGCTGTCGCATGGAGACGGACACGACGCTGTACACGGGCAGTGCCGGCGAGTACACGGGCCGATGCAAGCCGCCGTACGAACCGCTGTGGCTGGCGAAGAGCACGACCGTTCAGTGCAGCGCAGGCGTATGGAGTCAGCCGCCGCTGGAATGTGGCGAACGCTGGCAGCGCCTCTGGTGCGACTTTGACCAGGGCGAGGGGACACAGCACTGCACGCTCTTCAACAACCCGCGTATCACCATAGCGACGACGACGGTTGCCATGACGGACTCGCGGCAACACCCGTACGGCGGCTTTGTGGAGCTGCGCGGCGGTGGTGATGGGGCGAATCTAACGTCGATTGAAATCGACGAGCGGCATACATCACCACCACCACCGGTCTCAACTGCCCCGGCGGCAAATACATCGGCGTCAGCTGCGGCATCGGGAGCCATCAAGAACGCGTCGTCCGCATGCTGGCTAGAGTATTGGCTAAGCGGCGACAGTGATTGTCTCGAGGTCAGCGTCGTGGACAGGTTCAACGTATCCGCTCGCGTACCCGTCGCGCTGCCGAACTCGACACGCGGCACGTGGTCTCGGTACCGCGTACACGTTGGCCGTACAGCTCAGGGGGACGTGCCCGTGTCTCCTTACCATTATGTACTCGCCACAAACGCCTCGCGGCAGTGTACGGTGTACGTGGACGACATTCGCTTGCTGGGTGCCGACTGTCCGCCGTCGTTGCTGGCTCTCCACCGTGCCACCCCGGAGACATCGCGGCCCAACGACCCGTGCAGTCCTGGCGGCAAGGAGATGTCTCACGGCGGCCAGCGCTCCTGCTTCTGCCCGCGCTATGCCTACGGCGCGGGACAGACGACGCCGCGCTGCTCCTCGAGCAACACCATTAGCAGTGATCTGTTCTACTGCACGTTTGACGAGGGCCACTCCTGCGGTATGGGGCTGGGCGTCGGCACTGCCATGCGCAGGGGTAGTCGTGACACGGCGGACGAAGTTGGCGACTACTCCACGTCGCAGACGGGCTATTACCTGACACCCGTTGGCACGGCAGCGGGAGGGGAGCTGCGGTTTCCGCGCGGTCCTCAGGGCAAGGCATGCAAGATCGAGTGCTCCGTGTCTTGGATCAACCCCACGCAGAACAACACGTTGACGATGATCATAGACGGCACGACAGTCAACGGAAAGTATCTACCCGGTGGCACTGCCATTTGGCGAAGAGCCGAGTTCGACCTCTCCTCCGTCGCTATACGGTCGACGTCCGTCACTCACTACCAGACCTTCGTCTCCTGGTCGCGGTTCCGCATCGACAACGTCATTCTACGGGGCTGCGACTACGGCACGTTTGGCGCCATGCGCTGCACTTTCTACTCGGGCCACAGCTGGGTGGTGGCGCTGCGCAACAACGCCAACGGCTACCACTGCTTCTGTAGGCCAGGCTACACGGGGGAGGCGTGCGAGAAGTCGTGCTGTGCGGCCGGTTACCGTGACTACGACTGCAAGACGCCGTGCCCGCCGACCAAGCGCTGGGGGCCGGCGTGCGCGTTCCCATGCCGATGTCCCCACGGCGTGGCGTGCGAGGGCGCTACGGGCGCGTGCCTCTGCGACAAGCCGGGCATCAGCGGGCACAACTGCAGCACGCCATGCGACCCCAGTCACTACGGAGTGGGCTGCGTGAAGAAGTGCGAGTGCCGCAACGGAGCGGCGTGCAACGCCACCGACGGCGCGTGCTCGTGCTCCGCCGGTTTCCACGGCGATCGATGCCAGAGCGCGTGCCCGGCGCTGACGTGGGGCGAGGGCTGCGCGAGGGCGTGTCAGTGCTCGAACAGCGCCGGCTGCGACCCACGCACGGGCACCTGCCAGTGTCCTAAGCAGTTTGCCGGCGCTAACTGCAGCCAGTGCGCCCCGGACTACTCCGGTGAGCGATGTCAACACCACTGCCCCTGTGACAACGGTGGAGTGTGTCCGAGCAGCCAGCCGGGAAAGTGCCGGTGTCCGCCCGGTTACCAAGGCAAACGTTGCCAGCGGCGATGCAGTGCCGATCGCTGGGGCCAGGACTGCGGCCAGGCATGCGATTGCCGGAACGGCGCTGCCTGCAATCGGGTGACTGGTCGGTGCGAGTGCGAGGCGGCGTTCACCGGGGCCAAGTGCAATCGATGTGCCCTCGGCTACTCGGGCGAGACGTGCCAAGACTACTGCCTGTGCGCTCACGGCGGCACTTGCCACAACGGCACCAGCACCTGCACATGTGCATCAGGGTTCACCGGGCCGCGCTGCGAAGCTACATGCAGTCCAGGCACCTGGGGTGTCAACTGCCTCAACAAGTGCGCCTGCCAGAACGCCACTAGCTGCCATCCGCAACTCGGCTGTCGGTGCGTGCGAGGCTTTGCCGGGGTCTACTGTGAGCGGCTGATTGTCTGCCCCGACGTTGTCCTCCCGCCAACTGTCCTCATGGTTTCGCAGCAGGGTACATGGTATATGAACCGCACGCAGACGCAGTGTCCGACGGGGACGGTGCTGCGTCGTGGGCAGCACCACCGCGTGTGCCAGCGCGACGGTACCTGGTCTGGATCGCCAGCCGAGTGCGGACAGTACCCGGCCGACGGGGTAGCAGTGTGCCCGCAGCAGTATGCGAACACGTCGCGCGGCTTGTTCCTGTGGCCGGCCACGCCGGCCGGAGAGACCAGACGAGTGCTATGCCCGGTGACCGTCGACGACGAGGAAGTGGGTCTGGCAAGTCGAGAGTGTCTCCTAGCTGTGTCGTCGACCGACAAGCGACGACACAGCAGCTGGGACGCCGCTCAGACCGCCGCGTGCCCGTTCCTGAGCGCACGCACTCGCAAGCTCAACAAGATTGCGCGACTTGCGGATACGATGCTGAAGAGCATGATGTACAGTATGTACTCGATTGGAACCCTCGCAACAGCCACCGAGGAATTGACAGCGAACGCAACCGACCTGGACGGTGACGAAGTGTTTCTGACGGCCGATATAGTAGACGCACTGGCCAGCAGCTCTGCAGACGTGTTCTCGGCTCTGCAGACGCACAACTCCACGGAAGTCGGCCGGGTGACGTCGTCGTTCGTCAACATCGTCGGCAGCATTTCGGTCTCCAGCGTGCTGGCAGCGCGGGCCCCCGTCACCGCGGCGACGAATGGTCGTCGCCGAAGAACGACCACTGCTGACGACGTGGGCAGCGTCGGTAGTGATATCCACCGAGCTGCGGAGACGTTTGTGGAGTCGCTACCTCTGTGCGATGACAACGAGAAGCTAGTGAGTGCGTCTGGCAGTGCTCTCTTGGCTAGTATCTGTCCGCACACGAGCAGCGACTACGAACTGCAGCTCAACACCAGACAGCGGTCTTCTGGCCGCAACGCTTCCGCACTCGACTTCACCAGGCTCAACATCACCATCGGTGCAGGACACGGTGACAGGGACAGCGGAGGCAACAGCGGTAGCAGCGGTGCCGGTATATCGTTTCGCATGCCGCACGAAGCCTTACACAAAGCCGGTGCGCGAGAGAGCCAGCGCGACAATGCCTACTCCTGCCGACGCGCTAAGGCAAACTTTGTCGTGTACGCCCGCTCCAACGCCATCTTCCCGGTCGATGCGGGGAGCAACGAGTCTATCGTGTCCCCGGTGATCTCGGCCAAGGCTGGCACCGCGGAGAAGCTGCAGCTGAACTCGTCCCAGGTGATCATGACATTCCCGCTGGAGAGCATTGAGGCCGGACTGAGCACGGCATTCCACCTGCACTATCTGACCTGTACCTACTGGAACACTACGTCGCTGCAGTGGAGCACGGACGGCTGCTCGCGGGTCTTGCGCAACAGCAGCGTCGGTACTCCCGTGGCTGTCCAGTGCCGTTGCAACCACCTGACGAGCTTCGCCCTGATGCTGCGGCCGCCGTCGAAGCGTGGTGCGGACGCGCAGTCGTTGTCGGCGCAGGGCGATCACCACGCCAGGGCGCTCAGCATCATCTCGCTGGTCGGCTGCTCGCTGTCCGTCGTCTGTTTGCTCATCACCATCACCAGCATACTGGTTTTCCGGGAGCTGCGTCAGCGTCTGCGCCAGCGCATGACCGTCTGCCTGTCGTTCTCGCTGCTCGCCGTCATGCTGCTGTTCATCGTGGCCGGATTCGCCGGCCTCGACGGGCGCGCGTGTCGCACTGTCGGCGTGCTGCTGCACTATTTCCTGCTGGCCACGTTCACGTGGTTACTGCTGCAGGCCACGCTGCTCTACCGGCAGCTGGTCGTGGTGTTCCAGTCGGTGTCCGAGAAATTCTTCACCAAAGCCGCCGCGCTGTCGACCCTGGTGCCCATGGCGATCGTCACGGTTACGGCCTGGACCACGGGGATGAGCGCGTACAGCGGCAGCGGCTTCTGCTTCCTGGCCACGGACGCGGCGTACTACGGCGGCTTTCTGGGCCCGCTCATCGCCATGGTACTCTACAACGGCGTGGTGCAGATCATCGTGACGTTCCGCGTGGCCCAGTCGGACGCCAAGCGTCGCAGCATGGACAGCAAGCCGCAACTGAACAGGTTCATGTTCCTGCTGAACCTGGTGGTCTTCCTCTCCACCATCATGGGCACGACCTGGCTGCTGGGAACGCTGGCGGCGTTCATCGACAGCCTGGCGCTGCAGTACGTGTTCGCGCTGCTGTCCACTGTGCAGGGCGCCGTCATCTTCTACTTCAACACGCTGGCATCGGACGAGGTGCGCGTGATCCTCCGCAAGACGTACAAGACACTCTCTGTGCACTCTACGCTCTCCTACTCTCGACGTCGCAACTCCAGCGTGTCGGCCACAACGCCGCACCTGCACAGCTGCAGCTCCGTGCCGTCGTCGAGCCGCGCACGGGCAGCATCCTCTGGCATGTGCGCCTCGGACACGAGCTCGCACTCGCACGCGCCCTCGTCCTTCGTCGTCAGGCCGCCGCAGGGCAGCGTGCGATCGTCGGGCCACCACCGGGTCACCGGCTCCGCCAGCAACAGCACCAGCTGCTTTGCGGGCAACGGCAACGACGACATCTGTGGCGACGCCAGCAGCTGCGGCGAGGACGTCAGTATCTTCAGCGACTTCAAGGACAACGCCAGCGGTGAGCCGCTCTTCCACCACGTCGCCACCGCAAGCAACGGCGGTGGCGATGTGGCTGCTCCGGACAGGATCATAGTCAGCCGGCGGAGGTCCAGTGGTGCCAGCCGCGGCACGGAGCAGCAGGCACTCGGCATTGTCGATGATGAGTCACACGACATCTCGCCACATCGGCCGCCCCTGGAACACCTCACCGTCGATCACCTGGGCGGCGGCCGCTGGGGCAGCAGCGGCCACAACAAACGTCACTACTCGTGCAGCAGTGCGGACAGCCAGATGACTCCTGTCGTGGAGGTGGAGGTCAACGACCTGGGCTCACAGGGGGACACTGACTGCACCCTGGATGCTCACGATGACGGCAACAACCTGATGAGCTCATCGACGTCGCCGGAACCCAGCGTGCTCATGCTGTCGGGATTCAACTCGGTCACGTCGACGATGCCAATGGGCTTCGACTTGATGGCGGCGGGCAACTGTCGGACTGTGGAAGCGATGCTGGGTGGCGAATCGCCGGTCTCCGAAGACGCAGTGGCCAAGTCGATCACGGAGATGTCTCCGCTGGCCAGCAGCACGGCACTGGAACACGACAGCCTGACTAGCAGAGGGATTCGCTTCACGCGTGACCTGCTGAGCATGACCCGCTTTCAGCCGGGACGCCAGCTCAGCGTTCATGACAAGACGTCGCCGGACAGCTTGCGTCAGTGCTACAGTGAATTTGAGGTACGAAGCTTACTGAAACAGTCCACCGTTGACTCGGTGAATGAGTACATCCCGCAGACAACGTCCCAGCAATTTGTTCCACAGCCAATGCTGCAGTTCTGTCCGACTGCTACTCCCAGCACCGGAGTGGATGCTGGTTTAGATCGTCCGCTATCCGCCAAACACACGTCTCCGCTGTCTTCTGCTGTCCATGTCCCGGCGCCGCCTCCAAGCACCCCTCGTCGCCCGGACGCTGGCTCTGGCAGTGAGCGCCGCGCCGCGGCAGCCTACTTTGTCAGCCCCAGGTTTCACGACGCGACGGCGGGCGGTGGAGATCTCGCACCGGCGGCGCACTCCACCACCAGCTGCTAGCTAGCGGAGCAGTGCCGGCCTGGCCTGGCCCATCTGTGCAGGACGGACGGCGTGAGTACGCTAGTGTCTGCTGTGTGACCATGGCAACTCTAGCCTGGGTAGTGAGTGTGTCATAGCAGCACTGTGTGATGAAGATCTGCACGTTGTTGTTGTTCTCTGTAACTATGCAGTCCCTGCAGCCACTGCAATGACTTGCTTCGATAGTGACGTCGCTAATGCCGCTCTAATTAGGCTTGCAACCGCCACAGCTTTCTAAATGTGTTGCCTTCGCTCGCTGTATTCTCTGCAGCGCAATATAGCGTGTGTGTGTGTGTGTGTGTGTGTGTTTTGCACGTGCGTGTTTGCGAGGGTCTTGTGTGTGTGTGTGTATTTGTATGTGTATGTGTGTGGGTGCATATTGCTGTGCACGCACCTGTTTGCAATAATTTAATGCCACGTTGATATCAGCGTGTCGCCGTGACAACCAGTTCATACACTACACATCAACAACGAGAAATCTATCAAGCTTTAGTATCCACATACCGGTACTTCGAAGCGTGTTATTTGTAATTTTCCTAACCCTCTGAAGTTTGCCGATTTTCTATGCGTATTGGCCATAATTATTTAGGTGCATCTCACACATGGCAATGCGGCTGCACGAATAGTTTTCGGATTCTAACTTAGCACACGCGCGTAATTCTGTCATGATAATGTTTCTCATGCCGGCCCAGCTTGCTTGCATGCTTGAACACCGAGAGTGTATAACCATGCGTGTGCTGGTCCTGTGCGCGTATCCCGAGCTGCGATGGACGTGTGCATGATCCAGTGGGTATGCCTTTTGTCGGCGCTTTTCATGCAAATACAGCGTCAGTTCATGGGGTTCAGGGAACATAGCTCTCATACTGTCATTTGTTCTACGTCGACTCGTACAGTATCTGCAGTGTGTGGGATCTGCAGTGTAGCAATCAGGGAGTAGTAAAATACCGGTATTTTACTACTCCAAGTCATGTACATGCACAGTTAACTTCGCTAATGACGACTGCGGATATACCGTCAATTTGTGAATAACGACAGAATTTCCATGCCCAGAGCAAAGTCCCATCTAACTGTAATACTGTAAAGTGAGAAACTTTCGCTGGAGATTAAATTTCGCTATTTTCGCGACCATCACACATTCGCGAATATAAATCGCCGCAAACCTCTCCGTACATTGATTGGAGACCATACAAGATCCGACTGAAGAGGTACAATCGCAAAAGTTTCTCACCGTGAACCAGCCCAATTTAAGAAAACGCTAAATTTGCGCGCCGCGAAGGTTTGTCGCTTTAGAGTACATCATAAGTAAACTTGGCGAATAAGGACACTTTTCTGATGCCCCGCCGAGTGTCGTTATACGCACTGTTGACTGTACATGCCGGTCCAAATATGGACATGTTTGAAATCCACTCGATCCAGGGCCGCAGCACCGGCTTTTCATGTGGCCCGGCCAGATGGGATAGCACTTGGCGCGGGATGAACATTATTTCAACTAGCGACTGCACGCTGTTGTGTTCAACACTAGAATCTAGAATCTATTTTCGTCTGACGATCGACTCGGTTCGTGAAACTCAAGAGTTGCGAAAAACAACTGTTCGTTCTTCTGTCTGTGAACCTAGATCTAAAGTACTGCTCGATGAAATCCGGTCGCATGAGTCCAGTTTGCGCTTGGAACCAGTTCCTAGCTCAGTGTTCGCAGTGCTAGGGCTATAGAGCTACTGTAGTAGAAGGACCATTGCAGCAATTGCGGCCAGGAACGCCGTGTTGCTCCACATCGATGCTGAAGGCTTGATGTTCGCAGCACTGCCGCGCGATGTTGTTTCTCCGTCACCGTTGCGCGTCGCGGCCGGCGTGGAAGGTTGCGAGCCATGGGTGGCTGGCGTCGCCGGTATCGAACCAGTACCGGCTGCAGACGTACTCGCCGCTGTGTTGTTCTCGAGTTGTGCAAGCGACGTGAACGCGAAGCGCACCACCACCACCTCGATTTCTTGCCCGGTCTGCGGCCCGACGGTGGAGTTGGGCGTGAGCCACAGGTTGATGCGTGCGTTCTCCCCGCCGGCCTGTGGCACTTGCCGCCCGGTGCCGTTCGCAAACGACCACGTGATGTGGCCGCGGCCGGCGTCCCAGGTCGAGAGGAAGTCAACCCGGTCGGGCCGCCACGTAAACGAGTGACGGGCGCCGCTGACGGGTGCCGTACGAAAGCGCTTCAGATGTTCACTGCGGCCGTGCGGCTGCACCACAAACTGCGAGTTGGATGAGCGGTTTGGATCGCTCCATTTCGCCACCTCTACGTCAATCTCGCGGTGTGTATAGGCTGGCTCGTCCGACCACGTGAACAGACCGAGCACAGCGTTGGGTTCCCACGGGTTGTCCGGCTGCGCGCTACCGATTTCCCATTCGTACCTGCCAAAGCCGAGCGACTCGGCCGTTATGACTTCAGCAGCGTACCACTGACCACTCGCATTGGTCACCTTCATGTGTAGATGGCCCTGCCCGTCCACCCACACGTTGTCACTAGACGATGACCACCGGTTGGGTCCGGGGCCCCAGAACCCCGCGCCGGAGTCCTTCACCACCCAGGTGCGCCCGGAAAACTGGATCTTCCTCCAGCTCGGGTCGTAGTTGAGTCGGGCGGCGCCTGCCCCGCAGCCCGCCATGCCCAGCACTTGCAGAGCCAAACAGAGCACTAGCAGTACCGACAGACTCTGGGACTGGCGCGAGCGTGACTTGACTGGCTCACCGAACACCCGCCACACTGCCTGCGCAGCTTGCACTTGAGTTCGACTGGCGGCTACAGCGTTTCCAGCCTCGGCTGCAGCTCTCATTTTCAGAGCTACACGCTGCGACCTCCTACGTTTTGTAGTCTACGCACGCTACACTTCGTCCGCTTTGCTGGCCAGCTGGCTGGTTGAGTGAGTCGCAGTGTAGCGCCGCTGGCCCACCACTGGACTCGTATGAGTACTCGTACTATTGACTTACATACTTATTACTTACTAACTCGTCTTATAATTTAATTATAATTCCAAAATTAATGATAACCGTCACAAGAAAACGTTATTCAATGGAAAACTCTTGACATTCCCTGCCTTTTGTGTCCGGCCGGCCGAGTAATCGTGGTAATGAGTGCGCACTTTAAAATTCTAGGTTTTTTTTATTAAAAAAAGAGAGGTATAAGTAAGTTTACAAGTAAGTAAAATTATTAGTTATCCGTTTTGTCCGCCACTAACGTCAGTGAGTAACGATTACTAGTATAATTATTATAACTTACTAATACATGCATAAGCAGGATAATGATGAATACAAATGTGCAACAATTGCAGAATGGCTCAGACCACGCAGTGGTTGCCAGCTATTCTGGATTATATGAAGAATGCGATGTCGAACATATCAACGTGTTTGGCCTAGTTTCCTAGCATGTGACAGCTTTTTTGTAGTGAATAATTATAATTTATGTTTTATTTTGTTTTTGTGCGTTTTCATGCGCATGCTTGTATAAAATAGCCCGTGTTACCCTTCAGCCAGTTGGCCTTTTGTATTGCGAGCGTTGGAGAACATAAGGGCGGGCACGGGTGGGACGTTGATATGTTCGACATCGCATTCTTCATATAATCCAGAATAGCTGGCAACCACTGCGTGGTCTGAGCCATTCTGCAATTATATTTCAGAATGCTCTGTCTCCATATCAACGTGATTTTGTAGCTTTACTGTCAGTGGTTGACAGCGTCTTTGGCGGGATAGGACCGCATTGGCAAATGAGATATCATGTTGAGGCTTATAGTAAAATTTCTGGAAGACAGACTGACTACTCCAGTCAGCTGCTTTCAGGATTTCATTTGTTGTGACGCCGGAGTCGGCAGCGGCCGAGGCAGATGCACCCCTTGTGGAGTGTGCCTTGAAGATAGATGTATCAATACCTGCTTGTGAGAGGCAGGATTTAAGCCACCGTGCGACCGTAGAGGAGGTCACCGCCTTGTGAGGCCGAATGGTCGCAAGGAATACGCGAGTCTCACCCGAGCGGTGAGGCTTGGTTCTTTGTTCGTATTCCATCAAGGTTGTGACAGGGCAGAGTTTAGCCTCATCCGGAAATTTAGCAAAGAAGAATTCAGTCAGAGGTCTCGATTGTCGAGACTGTTTTGCGAGGGCACCTGTTTGAAAGGTTACGCCTTCTGGAGAGAAATGTTGAAATTTAATATCAAGATTTGCTAAATCAACCGACCGGGATGGTCGAGTTAACGCAAGTAGCATGACAGTTTTGTGAGCAAGACTGCTCAGTGATAAGTCATTGTTATTGCCCAAAGATACAATATATGACAACACCTGGGCAACATCCCAAGTGGTACTATACCTGGGCTGTGGGGGTCTTTGGTGGAAAACTCCCTTTAGGAGTCTTATAACCAGGGGATGCTGTCCAGCATCATAGCCATCAATTTTATCATGGGCAGATGAGATTGCAGAGCGGTAGTTATTGATAGATCTATACTGGTAGCCGTCTTTGAAAAGAGACGCCAGAAAGTTGATTATGACAGAGACATCACTTGAAAAGGGATCTGAGTCCCGTTCAGAACACCAGCTACTCCATTTGTTAAACAAGGAATCATACGTCTTACTAGACTTCTCTCTCCACGATGCGATGAGGAGGTCTGAAGCCTCTGTTGAAACTTCATTGCTCGTGAACTTTTTCCGCAGATGTTCCACGCGGCTAGACGAGGGTTTATGTCGGGTCTGTTCACACTGTGTGTGGGTTGGATGAGGTTGTCCATCTCCGGTAGGAGGAGTGGCTCTGCTATTAACAGCTCCAGCAGAAGCGGGTACCATGGCTGACTGGGCCACACCGGGGCAACCAGTATCACCTGCGCTTCTTGCTCCTTGACCTTGGCTAAGGTTCTGCCGATCAGGTTCCATGGCGGATTCACATATCCGTGATATCTGGTCCAATCCAGAGAAAATGCATTCGTTTCCATTGCCATGGGGTCTGGCCGCCAGCTGGCAAATAGCGGAAGCTGGTGAGTCAGCCGAGATGCAAACAGGTCCACGTCCAGGGGGCCCATGATCTTGTTGATTACTTGAAAAACTCTTGGATGAAGCATCCAGTCTGATCTGTCTTTCATCGTCCGCGATTCCTCGTCCGCGACTACATTCTTGGATCCTGCCAGGTGGGTCGCCTGCAGAACTATCTGCCTCTCCATGCACCATGACCACAGATCTCGTGTTAGATGGTTCAGGGTCGCTGACACGGTTCCCCCGTACTTGTTGATGTACGTCAATGCTGTTGTGTTGTCCATTCTCAGGAGTATTGTAACATTTTTGCGAGATTTCGCAAAGGTTTTCACAGCCAGAAATGCTGCCAGCAGTTCGAGACAATTGATGTGCATCTCTCTTTCCGAGTGTGTCCAAGGTCCACCCGTGCGGTTGCCCTGACACACCGCACCCCAACCAATTGTCGACGCGTCTGTTTCTATCACCAGGTCTGGTTTGGGAGACAAAAGGTTCCGACCGTTCCATTCTGATAGGTGATTTATCCACCAAGATAGCTCGTTCAGGGCTTCTCTTGTCAGCGGACACGGATGATTGTAGTCCTGACAGCCCTCCTCCAAGGAGGCTTGGAGACAGTTTTGAAGGTTTCTGTAAAACAGAGGAGCTTGCGGCACTGCTTGTGCTGCATGGTTCAGTTTGCCCAAAAGGCGAGAAACCACAATCGCTGATTGATGAGGCTCCTGATGTAACTTTCTTGCCTCTGCACGAGTTTTCTTCAATTTCTCGCCTGGGAGTTTCATTGTCATGGTTTCTGAGTTTATCGTGAAACCAAGAAACTCTACTTCCTTGCTTGGAGTGAGTTGCGACTTCGGGAAGTTCACCACGAATCCCAGATTTTGCAGAAGGAAAATCAGACCGCCCGTGTGGTCGATTGCTTTGCTTTGGCTTTCTGCCATGATCAAGATGTCGTCTATGTAGATTATCAATCTCAGACCGAGGGATCTCAGAACGACTACTACTGCTCTGGAGGTCTTGGTAAAGACCCACGGAGCTGACGACAGACCGAAGGGCAGGCAATTGAACTGGTAGAGTTTGTTCTGCCACACAAAGCGTAGACAGTTTCGATCGTTCAAGTCCATTGGGATCGTGAAGTAGGCATCCTTCAGATCGACTTTTGTCATGAAGTCTCCCTGACGAAGCAGGTCTTTCAGCATGTGAATTCCCTCCATTTTGAAATGGACTGGTTCTATGAATTGATTCAAGGCTTTGAGGTTTATTATTGGCCTGATGGCTCCGTCCTTCTTTGGGACTGCAAAGAGTTGAGAGATGAAGCTGGGGGGCTCCGCTCCCATTATTGTGGGCATTGAAACTTCTGAAATTGCCCCTTTGTTGATCATCGAGATTACCTCGGAAGAGATTTTTGTTCTCTCTTCCTCTCGAAACACAATCTCTCGTGGGGAGTGAGCCTGAAAAGGTCTCTGCAACCACTGAATCCTGTACCCTTGAATACAGTTCAAGACCCACTGGTCTGAGCTTATTGCCTTCCAATTCTCTGCAAACATTGCTACTCTCCCCGCAACTTGGGGTCGTTGAAACACAACAGTCTCCGTCATGTCTTTGACACACATTTGTTTCAGAGCACTCACAACAGAGGACATTGGATAAGGTTGAGCAACTTTTATTTCCTTTAGAGGAAGGGGTAAAGGCGATGCATTCTCTGAGCTCACTTGCTGGGCTCGCGGCTCCTGTCGCTCTGGTTGAGTGGTTTCCGGTTGCCGCCGAACCGGAACTGATTGCCGTGACCGTTGTAGGGTCGAAAACGGCTGGTGTTGTTGAAGTTGCCCCGACTCGAGTGGCCTCCCCGAGGGGCACCGGTTCGGCCTCCACGAAAAGACAAGCCAGGTGAAGACTTGCCACGAGTGGAGCTGGAGGCTTGAGAGAGACACTTGATCTCCTCGTTCCGTTCTTTGGCTCTCTTGGAGAAGCCCTCTCCGAACAACTGAGGGGCAGACGCCTTGTAGATGGGATCATCCTCAGCCATGTCGGCGAGATCCCGATTCATGCACATGATTGCATTTCTTCGCCTGTCTCTGTTCAGGTACATATTGGCGTTGCCGATAAAGGCCAGAGCAGTCTTGCATGCCTCAACGGCCTCCCCCGCGGTCAGGGTATCCTTTTGTGCCTCTTCAAGCACGTGAGTCAAAGGACCCACAGCGTCAAGGAGCAAGGCCTGTTGCTTAGACAGGGCCTTGTCACGCGACTTCGTCGCAGGGTGAAGACGAGATTTAATCATCTTGTCCATCAACGGCGGGGTAGCCACGTCAATCCGTGGACGCCCGAAACGACTACGCCATTGGCGTCGAACTTCGTTCGAGGTGGAAGCAGTAAAATGCTCTTGAAAAAACTCCAAGGTTTCCGAAGACACCTTGAAGTCTGTGCCAGACTTGTCCAACACATTTGAGTCCTCCATCTCCTCCTCGGACTCGTAGTCTGACGGAACGTCAGCATTGCGGGTTTTACCCGGGGTTGATGAGGCGCTTGGCGCCAGAACGGAAAACGAGGCACTTCGTGCCGGGTTGGACATTGGTCGAGCCGCTTCCAGAGCAGACACTCTCTCCGCAATGTCAGACATATTTGATCCAATATGCTCCACCACCTGCGTCACCTTCCCAAGCCGGGAAATCATCTCCGTCATCAATTGTGTCTGTGATGGCTGACCAGCAGCATCAGACGCGTTATCAGTGACATGATCCATGATGAGAATGGAATGCAGGCGTTCAGCAGATAAGCAAACAGGAGGCGATCTACAAGAATCACACACACCGAAATAGGTTAGAAACACTACCTCGAGTTCGAGAAACCACCTCACAAGAAAGAACTAAAGCAAGGGATTGCACCACAAGCGAGTAACTATTACTTACTTCAAGCGAGCTAGAAAAAGGCCAACTGGCTGAAGGGTAACACGGGCTATTTTATACAAGCATGCGCATGAAAACGCACAAAAACAAAATAAAACATAAATTATTCACTACAAAAAAGCTGTCACATGCTAGGAAACTAGGCCAAACACGTTGATATGGAGACAGAGCATTCTGAAATATAATTAGCACAAAACTAACTGATATCATCATGTGATAATCTTTCAACGACCTGCTGCACATTTATAAAATATCAGCCTTTTCGCGTTGACATCGCCAAGTAGGCTTGGCTAGTCTTCGGTTTAATAATAATTATAGGCCACATGGAATGTAGAGTGCCGGAGGAACGAGCGGGATTAGTGAGGTGCTAATATGCGTGCAACTGTAGAATAGGCAACAAAGAAAATACATATCAAAACAGTCCTAAAACTCGACCCCATTCTGCGATCGTACGAGCTTTTTTTGCGATGCAATGGGCCATACGACGCGATCTGCGACAGCGGCACGCGTACGATAGAAACTCGCGAAATAATCATTCACTACATATACATTGTACATATAGCCGCAATAAAAGCTGCTTTATGGCAGCTTTCTAAAAAAAGTTATTGTGTTCTATTAGTCCTGAGTCCTTCCCCTACATGTATAGAAAATTTATAAAATTGATTTCCAAACCGGCATGGACCCCGTCTAAAAAGTAAGAAATTAACGAAATGTGATAGCTCACAACACTTGACAATCAAACACTGCTTTCAACACTTGTTTAGTCTGACACTTGTACAATGCACTGCACAAACATGCATGCATGCATGAGAAAGAGGATCACGAGGGGAAAAGGTCTTCTCGCTTTTCATCCTGTGTGTGATTATCGTGAGGTCACAGTTTGTGTGAATTTTTAATTTTCGGCAAAAAAAAATCACATTTCGTTAATTCCAAAAAAAGTCTTACTTTTTAGACGGAGTCCAAGGCAGTTTGGAAAGCAATTTTATAAATTGTCTACATGTACATGCATACATGTAGGGGAAGGACCCAGGACTAGAACACAATAACTTTTTTTAGAAAGCTGCCATAAAGCAGCTTTTATTGCTATAATTTCTTTTGTTTCTTTATGTCACCAAATCCCCCGGTCCAATGGAATGCCCTATAAATGATGGCCTCTGCATCGATCATATTAAGGCCTATTATACGCATTGATGTGCAAGCCTTTTCTTGCAGAAAATGGCACATGTTCTTCTGTGGGGGAAACATGTGGGTGGTGGTGGTGATACTTTTCTATACGCAGGTCATTCTGTGGATGTGGCTGTTGCAGAATTTCATGACTCTGTCATAAAATTGTCTTGCCTTTCAGATATTTCAGATTTCCACACCCTCAATCAGATTCACTTGAAAAACGTAACCAGGTGCGTGTCGCAGATGTTTTTTTTGTTGATTCTGTGTTTATAATAATTGTAGTCATGGGTTGTCGTGATAAAGTCATCCTGCATCAAATTATTGCACTGAAATCGTAATCCTGTTGATGTCGAGACAACTATTGGAAGTAGTTCACTGACTTCAAAGTGTTAGTCCACGATTGTCTAAAACAACAACACAGCAAAGGAGGACAATAAACATGTATTTAATTTTTTTTAATGTAAACAAACACATTGTTGAGTCCGACACCTCGTTCCAACACTGAACTACATGTACATGTACACTGATGTACACTGATCCTGAGAATATATATGTAAGGGGCGAGGCTATGGTTGGAAGTACTGAGAGATAAACAAGGCACTCCATAACAATAGAATGTTACACATCCTTTGGTGAGTATGAATAATAATAATAATAATCTTCACTAGTTTGAGGGAAAGAGACAAACGGGAAAAGTCTGAAGAAAAAATAATAATAATAATAATTTAATTCCCGTAGCTATGCAGAAGACGTTACTTCAGTAACGTCTGGCGCTAGCCAGGGTCCACACAGCTTTAATTTGGTGTTTGTTTGTGTGTTTGTTTGTTTGTGTCACGCCTGGCGCTATTTTGTATCTATCCCGTACTGTACCGTACCAGCAAAGACAGCTGGCCACAATATTTTTGTTTGTTTGTGCCATCGACATGCCTGGCGCTATCCCGTACCTGTCCCGTATCATCAAGAGTACGGTACCATCAAGAGAATGAGTATATATGCGAAGTGTATGGGGGGAATGCATTCAGTGCAGTAACATTAAATTTTGTGTGGATTTGTGTGCGAGGCCGAGATCCCACTAGCAGGCTGGCTGGGCCGCCTGTCGACCAGCCCGGAAATCGCATGTAGGCCGATAGCATAATAATTATAACGTATATACAGTCATGTAGATGTATAGCAGGGAGTCATATTATGTAAACGACTCCCTGCTGTATGGGGAGATTTTCTGGAAAGAAATACGAAGTAGGGAGACGAGTAAATGCAATCAGAATGGATGTTAGTTGCCGTCAGTATAATAATAAGAAGAAGAAGAAGAAGAAGAACGCCCGTGATCGGCAGAGTCAGCGCCGGTCCCAGGAAACGTCAGGACAGACATCCCGTCGACTCCAGAACGCCCGTCATCGGCAGAGTCAGCGCCGATCCCATAGCTATGCAGAAGACGTTACTTGTACTTCAGTATCTCATTGAAACGTTTTTGCAAAACAATGATTTAGCTAATCAAAGGAAAAGCATTTCCATCAGTTCTAACAACATGCACGATGAGCTAGGCAACAAAGCATAGCGCAGGGCCCTGAGCTTCCAAGCTCTCTCGTTAGAATGACCCAAAAAAAGGCAAATCGCCTATCGAGGGGTTCACCGCATTGATTGGTTGTGGTATGATGGAATGATATCCAGTCGAACCTCTTTAGGACAAACACCAAGGGACTGATATTATTTGTTCTGTGAGTTTGTCTTAATTAACCCTATTTAATAACCAGTGAATACAATTATTTCTCCAATAGAGATGCGAATAGATACCTTCTACGGCGAAAGATTCTAAGCCAGACCGACTCATTGACTCGTCTCGTATGAAACAAATGAGTCACTGAACCCTTCTTTAGCAACATGACAGCAACTAGACTGCAACAGAGAAAATACGATACATGTACAGCGCATTCTTGCAGGTACTACAAACAGATTGCAGATCGTAATTCTTGCTTTGGCGGCTCGCAACTTTATTTGGGGTAATGCAATCTCGGCGCTACTCACAAATCAAACAGCAATACCGTGTCAACAAATCAGCAAGAAGAAGTTTTCGAGCTCTGTAGTTTTCCTTAGTTTTCTGTAGTTTCCTGTGGATTTCCGGCTTCAGCGTGCCTCTCCCGCAAGCC